TGCATTGTTTCTTTAGAAAACAAACAGACATATAACCCCCAAAAAAAGGAAAGAAGTGACCCAGAACCAGAAAGAAAAAATAAAATAATAAAATGAGATTAAAAACAAACAAATCAACCTGAATAAGACATAACAAACAAATAAGAAAACAAAGAGCCAAAGAAAAATCACAAGAAACATGCATAGATGCATAGACATGAACACTATCATGAACAGAAATCCCTGAAAAACACAAAATCAGAGAGCTATAGGGTAAGGGGGGGATCCCAGGCAAAGCATGCTCAGACTAAACAAATAAACAAACACAAACAAACAAACCTCTAAAAGTATCCTTGAGTTCATTTTGTGTTGGATATCTACTGCTTGGCATGGGGCCTGACCTTAAGAGTAGTTTGTGTCTCCAGTGAGACTCCATTGAAGAAAATTGATTTTTCATTTGTGGATGGTTATCAATTGGAGATAGTTTCTGGGTTTGCGATGGGGGCAGATGTTCACGTCTCCTCTCAGCACCAGGGCCCCATTGAGCCCAGACCTGTGCAGGCCCTGAGCAGGCTGCCACAGTCTCTGTGAGCTCCTATGTGCATTGATCCTGCTATGTTTAGAATATCTTTCTTTCCTTGGTAGTCTCTGTATTCTCTTCTTCTCTGGCGCTTACACTCTTTCCTCCTCCTCTTCCTCAGGGCTCCCTGAGCTGTGAGGGGCGGGAATTGATGGAGACACCCCATTTAGGACTGAGTGTCCCATGGTTTCTCACTCTCTGCACCTTGTCCAGATGTGGGTCCCTGTATTTCTCTCTATCTATCGTAGGAGAAAGCTTCTTTGATGATAACTGGGCAAGGCACTCTTCTATGAGTATAGCAGAATGTCATTAGAAGTCATCTTATTGCTGTTTCATTAGCAAAACAATAGTATTTGGTTTGCCCGTAGGTCCGTGACCTATCTAGTCTCTGGTTCCTGGACACTTGAGCAATATCAGCGATGGGTTCAGCACACCTTAATTAAATCCAATAGGTATCGGTTGATTAGTCTCACAAGATTTGTGCCACATCAAGCATCCAGATCACCATTGCAGACTTAAGAATTTGTAGCTGGGTTGGAGTTTACTTTTCCCCTTTGGTAGAGTACTGAGTACCTTCCAGTACTGTGTACATTAGTCAGTAGGTATGAAGGCTCTATGTAGGCACCAGCTCCATTTCTCCTATCCAATGAGTTGTGTAGGTGTTGCCTTCAGCAATAGGGTATTGCCAGCTGTTTATGGAGAGCAACCAATAGCCTTGGCATGAGCCTATATTGTCTGGAGATTCCCATGGGGCCCCCTTGGCCAACAATGAGATTACATGAAACTCTTCCTGACACTGGAAGTTTCATTTTGTGATAAGAGATATCCAACTGGGTTTCTGTTTCCCCTTTGATTAGGCAATTCAATTTAGATTGCATATATATGAAGCTTCTACTGTGATGGGTTTTCATACAACCCCTCAACTGGCTGTTAGTTTTAGCTCCTCCCTGTATTCCCTCCCTCCCTTCCTTCCCCCTGCCCATCTGATTATCCCGTTCTAGCCTCCCCCATCCATCTATAACTTTCTATTATATTTCTTTTCCCTAGAGTGATCCAGTCCTCCCCCTAGATCCTTACTCTGTACCCAACTTCTGTGTTTGCAGGGATTATAGACTGCTTATTGAAGACTTAACAAGTAACATCCACATATAGTGAATGCATACCATATTTGTCCTTTTGTGTCTAGGTTATCTCACTCAGGATGATTTTTTCCTAACTCCATTTATCTGCAAATTTCATGATGTCATTTTTTAGCAGCTGAATAATGTTCTATTGTGTGAATACACCACCTTTTCTTCATCCGTTCTTCCACGAGAATCACCAAGGATGTTTTCTAGTCTCTGGCTATTACAATTAGAGCAGCAGTAAATGTGACTGGGTCAGTGTTTCTAAAGTAGGATGAAGTGTCCTTTGGGTCAGTGTTTCTATAGTAGGATGGAGCATCCTTTGGGTCAGTGTTTCTAAAGTAGGATGAAGTGTCCTTTGGGTCAGTGTTTCTATAGTTGGATGGAGCATTCTTTGGGTCAGTGTTTCTATAGTAGGATGGAGCGTCCTTTGGGTCAGTGTTTCTATAGTAGGATGGAGCATTCTTTGGGTCAGTGTTTCTAAAGTAGGATGAAGTGTCCTTTGGGTCAGTGTTTCTATAGTTGGATGGAGCATTCTTTGGGTCAGTGTTTCTAAAGTAGGATGAAGTGTCCTTTGGGTTAGTGTTTCTATAGTAGGATGGAGCATTCTTTGGGTCAGTGTTTCTATAGTAGGATGGAGCGTCCTTTGGGTCAGTGTTTCTATAGTAGGATGGAGCATCCTTTGGGTCAGTGTTTCTATAGTAGGATGGAGCATCCTTTGGGTCAGTGTTTCTATAGTAGGATGGAGCATCCTTTGGGTCAGTGTTTCTATAGTAGGATGGAGCATCCTTTGGGTTAGTGTTTCTATAGTAGGATGGAGCATCCTTTGGGTCAGTGTTTCTATAGTAGGATGGAGCATCCTTTGGGTCAGTGTTTCTATAGTAGGATGGAGCATCCTTTGGGTCAGTGTTTCTATAGTAGGATGGAGCATCCTTTGGGTATGTGCCCAAGAGTGGTATAGCTGTATCTTGAGGTAGATCAATTCTCTGCTTCCTCGGGAACCGCCACACTGATTTCCATAGTGGCTAAACAAGTTTGCACTCCCACCAAGAACGGATGGGTGTTCCCCTTGCTCTATATTCCACCAGCATGAGCTGTTATTTGTTTTATTGATCTTGGCCATTCTGGCTGGTGTTAGGTGAAATCTCAAGCAGTTTTGATTTTTATTCATTTCTGTAGTGACTAAAAATTTAAGTGCCTCTCAGCCATTTATGTTTCCGCTTTTTGTGAGAATTCTCTTTTTATATATGTAGGCCATCTTTAAATTGGGTTATTTGTTTTCTAGATTTCCAATTTTTGAGCCCTTTATATATTAGTTGTTAGCCCTCATAATGGCTGTTCTTGGCTGTCTATTTGACAACATCTGGAATTAACAAAAGCCCAAATGACTGGACACACTTGTGAGGATTTCTTTTTAGTTAAATCAACAGAAGTGGGAAGACCCACGTGTAATCTAGATCTTTAAAGTGGAAAGGTAAACTTTCAATCCCGATCTTTTGAGGTGGATAGAGATTCCTTTAATCTGGGCCACAAGTCCTTCTGGCAGCCTACATAAAAGACAGGGAAGAAGGAAGCCTCCTGAGTAAGTCCATTTCCTTACTGGTGGTATTGGTCCATGAGGTGGAGGGAATAGAATTGGGGAACAGTGTTAGGATGGCTGTGGGTATGACTGAGACAGTCCTTTGGGAGACAGACTTCCATGAAGCAGCTCAACTTTATTCTAAGTATAATATGTATGATTGGGGGGTCTGGGGATTAACCTTAATTTTAATTAAGTGGCATGTTCCTATCACAAGGCTTAGTATGTAGCAATGGGGTCCTATAACAGAGCTCCTAGCAAAGTCTTCTAGAAGGAATCTGTGCCAGGGTTCAAGCTGAGTCAGGCATTTGGCTTAGAGATAAGGTCAGTCTTCCAGTCTCAGGGACATTCTCCAAATAAGTCAGGTAGAGGGAGGAAGTTTCGCTGGGGAGGGAGGGAGTTTCCATGTTGTCAAGCTTTCGGGAAAAGCTGCCAGGATATGAGAGGCTGAAACCTCTACCAGCCAGCAAGGCCTTCCAACACTCACTGGCACCAGAGCTTCTTTTGGATTCCAGAGTACACTGAAGACCAGTTGAGGCATTCATCCTTGTGGACTGAGAGCAACCACGGGATTCTGGAATCTTGTGTTCATAGACACCCACTGTTGGATTTGCTGGATCAATGCCTGTAGGTCATTCTAACAAATCCCCTTTATATGTATATATATATATATATACATATATATATATATATATAAATGGTCATTCTCTAAATTCTGGTACTCTAGAGAACTCTGACTAAATCAGCCCTGTCTCAAATATGTACTTGGTAAAAACCCTTTCCCATTCTGTACCTGCTGCTTTAAAAGGACAATGAAGTCAACCAGTGTTCAGAAATTCATTGGAAACCATAAAAAAATAGAGGCCCCATGGAAAGACTTCTTAAATGGAACTAGTCCAGTTGCTCCTCTGGGCTGGCAGTATGTAAGGCCCTCTTGGGCAGATGTAATGTGCCATTTTAAGTGATTGCTGAGGGCCTGTACCTCAGTGTATGATCTTTGCTCCTCAGGGTGAAGGGTTTTCTTCCCTCATCTGTCTGCAATCCTTCTCACTCAGTTATGCTCTTTAGACCGGGGCTTGATAGAGTTTACGGTTTTAATTCTAACCACCCCACAGAATTCCTTCTTTCTCAATTTATCCTTAGCACGTGAAAGGGATACTCTCTTCTTTCATCACTTGTATAACTGTGACTTTTTGCTTTCCATGAAGCAAACTTTGCTCTCCCTGAGAATTTGTCTTAGTTTACTATTCTTGAATATTTTTCTCCTAATAAGGTTTCTAAACTTAGAATAGGAAAACTGTGGGCAGAAAATTGGTTTTTATGCATCCAAGAGTAATCTGTAGATGTTGTAGCCACAGACAAAAAAAAACCATGAACATTAAAACAAGAGGCCAAGCCAGAATTTGTCTGAAGACTGAGAAGGGCTCCAGGTCCTACATAGAGATCATGTGTACAAGCTTAGGTTTTAGTTTTGTCTCCTCAGTAACCTGCTAATTCCAGTATTATCCTTATACTCATCCCTTCCTCCCATCACAATTAAGAATTCCACCAGTTTGAAACTGAAAATGCCTTGGTTCAAATGCCTTCCCAAGGCTGGGTCCCCCTAAGGCAAATGAGAGTCTATGCTGAGGAAAAGAGAAAATCAGATGCCAAAACCATTTACAGATTCAATCTGACATTTAGTCAAAATGCTATAATGAGCATAGGGGAAAAAATAAGAGATCATTAAACTTTCATCTCTTTTGGGCAAATTTTTATTGAAATTATAAATCCGTTGAGGACAAGCTCTACAGTGTATCATTGTTACAGACATCTGCCAAACCCTGGTACTTCCTCGATTTGGTTTTGACTGCAGAAGTTTCTTAATGTCCACGTCATTTTCTCCTGTGTAATGAGGTGATGTTAACTGTATCCGCCTTGGAAGAATGCTGGAATACCATCCATGCAATTCAGAACATGCTGTGCAGAGTTCCTGGGACAATGGGCGGATTGTTTCATCTGTGTCAGGAGACCTTGGTGTTCTTTCACAGAGCAAGTATTTCCTTAATGCTTTTCACGTGCAAAGCACCTGACAAATACTGAAGGGAATGGTCCCTGAGTTGAGGGATGGTCTGATGGGATGTGAAAAGGGACATTTTCTAGGTTCATTATTACAAGGAACTCTGGGCTCTAAAGGAAGCCTGGCATGATATTTACAACAACCCAAAGTACATTTTAAAGGCAAAGGCTGAGAAAAACAGTTAAGGCAGTGAGTGTCTCAAGCCAGAACACAATGGTGAAGCTGGCAGTGTGGTCCTTCCCACCCCACCCCATCCCACCCACCCTGCCCTACCGCTCCCTTCTCCACATCCTTTCTTCTCCATACTCATGCACTCATGTACACTTTCAGGGGATGATCCTGCCAGCAAGGAAGGCTGCTCAGGCTGTCAGCCACATCCTCCTGGACAGGCCAGCCCCAGGCTTCAAAGAAAGGGACCAGGTTCTTCTGCACCGTTTCAGAGAACAATTTCACCCATGTGTTCATCTTGTTCTCATTGTCTTCAGGGATGCTACTGAGGGTTTGGTACTCAGCAAAGAGGTGGATGAATGGCTCCCACCCAAAGGCCTCCTGGAGCTGGAAGGAGAAAGAATGGGAAGAATATGGTGTTGAGTTTGCAAACATGACTGCTGCCTGTGTCTGTGGTCATGGGTATATCTCGATGTCAGGGACTGCTTCCCATCAGCCTCAAACTCAGGGTTTGTCCCACCTCTAGTCCTGTGTCCCCAAACAAATTCTACATTACTGGATCACAGCAGCTCTCAGCAATCAAACTCTACCCCCTCGACCCAGTAAAGATGCCCTACAGAGCACTAGTGTGCCAAGAGTCACTCAATACAAGACAGTTACTATTACTAGCTTTAACGTGTTGACTGGGTTGAGTTGCTCACTGACTGAGACCATATCTCATCCACTCTCCAAAATCAGGGAAGGGAGGAAAAAAATTGGAGTGTAGCAGTCTAAGATGCCAGGGGTTGCTGTTAACTCCTGATTCTAAGTCTGAGATTCGTCATTTAAGTGGGTGATTTTGAACAAGCTGGTTAAATTCTTAACAGGGCTCATGAACCTCTGTGACAAGTGAGCTATGTAAGCCCTCTGCACAGAGTTGCATTAGAGAGCAAAAGGTCTGGTGTGACCAGGAGCTTTGATGACGGACCATGAAAGTTGGAAGCATGTTTTTTGGGGAGGGGACAGGGATAGATGCTATCTACAGAAAATGGACTGAGTTTTCTAACTTCATCGCTTCATTGCTTATTGGCTGGTCATTATTCATTCAAACACTGCTTCTGCTTCTCGTGAATGCCTGGGAATCTTGTTAGTAGATTTTGTTTTGGTTTTGGTTTTGGTTTTGGTTTTTCAAGACAGGGTTTCTCTGTATTGTTTTGGAGGCTGTCCTGGAACTCACTCTGTCGACCAGGCTGGCCTCAGACTCACAGAGCTCTGCCTGCCTCTGCCTCCCGAGTGCTGGGATTAAAGGCGTGCACCACCAGTACCTGGCCTTGATAGTAGATTTTTTTCCTACAACACCTACTTGTAATGCAGCTGCCATATAGACATGCCCCTGACATTATAAGAGGCCCTGGCAATAGTCATTCAACCCATAAAGATGAGGAAAGCAAATATAAGCAACCAATGGCTATTCTGCTGGGGAAAATCCACAGAAATGGCTGACCCGAGCAGGTGGGAGCTCATGGACCCCAGTCTGACAGCTGGAGAACCTGCATAAGACTGAACCAGGCCCCCTGGATGTGGGTGTCAGTTGGGGGGCTTGGGCAGTCTATGGGGTGCCCTGGCAGTGGAACCAGTATTTATCCCTTGCCCATGAACTAGGTTTTTGGAGCCCATTCCCTATGGAGGGTTACTCTGTCAGCCTAGGTACATGGGGGAGGGCCTCAGTCCTGCCCCAAATGATGAGACAGACTTTGATGATCCCCCACAGGAGGCCTCACCCTCTCTGAGGAGTGGATGGGGGGTGGGATGGGGAGATGGTGGGGGGTGGGAGGGAGAGGGAACAGGGATTGGTATGTAAGATAAGATTGTTTTTAATTTAATACATAAAAACCAATGGCTGTTATGGAACAGTTATTAGGGATGAAGGGCGGAGCCGGTGAGAGGAGGAGTCACGAGTATGACTGAGATCCTTCCCTCAACATCAAGAGTTTGGGATGGTACAGAAAAATGTGCCCTGTAATTTCTTTCCATTTCATTGCATACTCCAAAACCCTGGGTCTGAAAGTGGGAGAGGAGTCACTGTTATGATACAAATACATAAGCTGAGGGGTGCCACTAGTGACCCACATTCAGGGGTGTTGGTGGCGGTCCCAGGTTTTGGGGGGTTCATGTAGAATTTGGAGAGCTGAAGGCAAGATACTACATGACCGAGGAGCAATGTCAGCGCTACCTCCCCAAATTTGCGCTCAGTACCTGCAGGTATGTCTCCAGTGCTGTCCAGACATTCCAGTTGTCCAGGGGTGCTCCCTTCTGAAGATGCTCTTTGATCCTCTTCTCTCGTTCCTCAGGCTTCAGTGCAGGGTGGGCCCGAGCCCTGGGAATCCCCAGAACTGTCTCGTGCACATAGACTGACCAGAGATTGCAGGTGGCCTCGGTGGTGTGCGGAGGGAACTCCCAGCCGTGGCGCTGCTGATTGTGGCCCAGCTCATGGATGGGTCCCCACAGCCCCTCACTTTTCATGGCTGTCAAACTGGTGAGCTCCTGCACAGACTCCAGGTGGCACATGATGGGGTATCCTGAATGCATCCAGCCTGGGGTCGCAAAGAGAGAGATGGGGCATGAAGCTTACCTCCCTCCTTCCGCTGTTGAGATTTCCTTCACGGTCCTGGTTGTGTCCAGTGATTCCAGGATGTCTGTGCCGTTTGGAAAGCACCTGGCTTTCCTACAGTAATTGACCCCTTCCCAAGGTTCTCCCTGGCCTCGTGCTTACTCTGGCTCTGCGGGGTGGGGAGATACTGTACAGAACCATCCTTGCTGGGACGCAATGATACCCTGGACCGGAGAAGTTAGGGCAATGTCAGTTCCCCCGCCCCCAAAATCCGCATTGTTAACCAGATTTATGTGATATAATAGAGACAGTTTTGTCGATAAAAATTCAGCTTTCCTATGTGGGGAGCAGGACTCTGAACCTTTCCCTGCATTTACTTATATCTTCTCTGCGAAGTGCATGGTATCCATACCTATAACGATACTCGAGGCTATATAGGGAAAAGCAATATATTTATTTATCAGGGAGAGAGAGAGAGTCGCACATACCAGGAGTTAGAAGCTTGGCTGGCTTCCAGGAGAAAAGAGAGAGGCCCCTTTTCCTTTCACTACCTTTTATCTCTACCTTGACCCCGCCCTGTTGGGCGGGTAGCTTTGTGGGGTTCACTCCTACAATTCCCCTTTTAGTCTAAATAGAAGATTTAAATTTGATACAAACTCAAACATATACAACATATATACATAGAGGGTGATAATTAAGTTATGATCTACTTATCCTAAACTAAACATATCCATTCCACCTAAATTCTAAACTTATCTGACAGGGATGCCTAAATCTGAACACCTCCTTCCAGTTCCAACCCTAAATAATTGCAAATTACACTAACAGGGGTAAACTATCCTTTTATGTCAATAGTAGGGAGAGGGGACGTGGATAACGATACTCGAGGCTATATAGGGAAAAGCAATATATTTATTTATCAGGGAGAGAGAGAGAGTCGCACATACCAGGAGTTAGAAGCTTGGCTGGCTTCCAGAAAAAAAGAGAGAGGCCCCTTTTCCTTTCACTACCTTTTATCTCTACCTTGACCCCGCCCTGTTGGGCGGGTAGCTTTGTGGGGTTCACTCCTACACATACCTACCTCAAACTTCCTTTTCCACCCTCCCCCTTCATTTTCGGTTATGACTTATGTCTGAAGAAAGCAGTCCGTTTTGAACATTCTTTTTGCAAAGGACTTGGCAGACGTTGGGGGCCTCCCAGCACCAGGTTTCTGGGCATAACCACTTACTGTCTTAAGAGACGGCATCTTGTAGGATGTCAACGATTGGCCTCTTATTGGTTAAACTTATTTCACTCCCATCATGGTCCACGCTGTTATGCCCTTCCCCCACCCCTTGCGTTTCAATAACACAATTATGCTTTACAATTCCTGGGCACTCCAAGAAAGGTAAAAACCAATAGCAAGATGGAGTTTGCTCACTGGGAGCACTCCCCTGGAGCACTCACCAGCTGAGATCTGCACGTCAGCCACAATTCTCTCGGGCCTTTGGAAAGGGAAGGGCTGGGCTGCCAGCCTGGCTATGGCCTGCATCATCTCATCCCAGAGCTGGAGCAGAGGCTCCGGGTCCTCCAGAGCTTTGAGGTTTTCAGTGGGTACCGTCAGGATGATGTTGTCTGTAGCCAGCTCTCCCCAGGGGCCCATGTTATCCTGGATACAGCTCTTCCACTCCTCCAGGGATGTCTTACCTGGAAATGCACAGCGTTTCTCTTTGAACAGAGAGACAGAGACAGACAGACAGAGGGGTGGAATTGCAGAAGGAAAGTCCAGAAACAACAAGCTGCTGTCATAGGCTGTCGGTGAAGGGACAAACTGTTAGAGGCCCCCTCCATTGTACCCAGAGTCTTCACAGACGCAGGGTGATCCTACTTCCTGCCTGCGGACTCATGCTGAATAGTTCTGACCCCCTTTCCCCCCCTGTCGATCCTTGCTGTTCCCCCTCTTCAATAACAGCCCCATTAGTCACCGAGGCACCTGCAGCCCAATTCCCCCAGTGCCTAGTCCACTCACCGAGCTTGTAGTACGGGGCAGGCACTGCGTTCCTGATGGTAACAGAGACAGGGCCAAGCTGACAGCCCTGGGGCACGATGATGTACAGGAGGCCACCCCAGAGGCAGGAGACTGACCGTTGGGTTCTGTCCATACAGCACTTATATGTTACCACAGGTGCTCGACACAGCCTCTTTGCCTCGCTTAGGTCATCAGTGTGACATCCGATCTGCACCTGGACAGACGATTGTACCGCATGAAGGGAACTGGAGCCCTCAAGAAGCATGTAGAGTTTCATTAGGGGCCGATGGGTGGTGGTGCTTACATATGAGACCCTAGCTTTCCTTTTCTGCGAAGGGTGCATGCAGTCTATGAATCTGCGGCACTCTAAAGTATTTTTTAAGTATTTGTTAGGGATGTAACACGGTCCAACAGTGTATTTCCATTCGGTGTGAGCGGGCTAGTTGCTAAGCGTAACTGATGAGGGCTTCATGGAGTCCCCCAACCAGGCAGAATCTTGGGCTCTTAAATCAGACTTAAACAGCAGGGTGGGTCTGATAGTTTCCACGAGGCGGCAGGGCATCCCATCTACCCATTGTGAGCAGACACAGGTCGGGCCAGACGCTACAGAGTCGGGCCAGGAGGCAGAGAACTCATCTGCTCCCCTCACTGCCCAGCTCACTCTTACAAGTTCCGTGGGGCTGCCTTTTTGCTTTTGTCAGGCCGAAGCAGATACATCTGATATCCCAGAATGCTGATGTAAGGGCCCCTAACGGTAGTAGGAATTGGCGCTCAGGACTGAGAGGGCAGAAGGATTTGAATTCTGCTTGGAGGTTGTATTTTGTCGTGGTGCAGGTAATGGGTTTAAGTGCACCCTTCGGGTGTCAAGGTGAAGAGGTCGAATGGGCTTCTACTACCAGGAAAACTGGGGAGTGCTGGTTCGCAAGGTCACTCTTCCTTCATCCGTCTAAGTGAGTAACATTGTCACACGTGGAAATCAGGCTTAGGGATGAGCTTGGCTAGTAGCTTGGGCTTTGTGCTTTTACATGTACAAGAGGGGCAGAATAACCCTCCCCTGGGCTTCTGCTGGGTAAACTCAGTAGGAGATGTAAACAGCCCTGTGGTGTGGGAGAGTCTTGGCCATATTTGGGGACGCGATGGCTCCAGGGGTCTAGCCTTACCTTTAGGCCAGCCGAGGCAGTGTCTTCAGAGAGAGAGACCTCTGCACTCTGTCCTTCCAGAAGGTAGAGGCCAGTGCTCATCCAGGCATCACTATTACCTGACAAGTCAAGAGAAAAGGCTGAGCTCCGTGTTCCCACACAGCCTGACTCTACCTGGAGCCTCCCACAGATGCAACCTTTCCCCCGTGGATTCCAAGTCTTCCATCCACACTTCTTGTACCCTTTCTTCCTTGGCCTTAATTAGGCACAATCTCAGCTCTCATTGTCTTGGAAGTATCTAAGCATGGAGCTATCCATTCTGAGGATAAGAACCTTCCAGGTTCTGGAAACTCTTCCAAACCCACCCTCTCCCAGGCCAAGGATGCTCTAAGCATTCTCTTCCCACTCTATACCTGAATTGGTTCCATTGATCTCCACTGTGATGGGATGCTCTGAGGGGTGGAGATTGGAGGAGCAGATCTGAGAGCCAAGGTCCTGGGTTAGCTGGGAGGAATCGGTCGTCCCAGAATGTGCCAGCTCTGTGGCCAGATGGAGAATTGCTGCCTCACAGGAGGTACTGGAAACTGGGTTTTTCTTGCTCACAGCTGGGATGCCTGCCTGTCGCAGCATCTTCCTCAGGAGCCGGTGCAGAGACATATAAGCAGGAACTCCCTGTGCAGGAATCTGCAGGAAGCCTGCAGCATCTACTCCCAACCTTACCAAATGCTCCTTTTCTAAGTCCCCACCCTGGTGGTTCATCATAGCCTGAAACTTAGAGAGAGCCCTTCGAAAGTGGTAGTCCTTTATCTCTGTAGGAAGAACAGGGAAACAGCCTGACCCGAGGGTCTGGGGCAGGATGCTGAGGCCAAAGGTGTTGAGGATGACATTCCCAGGGAACGCAGCCAAAGCAGAGCTGCCCGTGTTCTGGGAAGCCCACCACCAGGCCTGACCACCAATGAGCAAACCCCCACCCTCAGCAACAAACTCCTGTATTTTCTTGGCCTCCTGGTCACTATAAGCCTTACAGCAGTAGACACACATATCACTAGTCAAATGGGACTCCAGGCTGCAATTCAAGCCATGATCCGACAATAGAGAATGCAGATTCCTGAGACTTTCATTCACCCCAATATTGCCTTTCTGTTCTCCGGCCAACCAACGTACAGCATTAAACAAAAAGGGCTCCATCTCAGGAGCACAGAGCAGGGACTCATGGGCCGCCAGTACCACACGACCACGGCCATAGCGGGCAGCTGCTAGGAAGCAGTGGAGGGAGGTATCGAGGCCCAGGGGGAAGGCCAGGGACCCATGCACCAACAGCTGTGAGGGGACACCTCCAGTCTTGATGTTCAATTTAGAGATGCCATCCAGAAGCTGCTCCTGGTCATACCCGAGCTCCTCCCAACACCTGGGAAGAAGATGAAAGAGACTGAGAGGCTGTGTTCAGCTAATGAGTTACTCACTCTAGCCCACGAGGTAGAAAAAGATTGCATAGTTCACACCGATATTCATTCTTTACTAATAGTATCTGGGGGTTTAACAATGTGTGTCTTATCAACATAATTCTTTTTTTTCACGGTCTCACAGTTAATCACATATCATTGTTCATGCCTGCTCTTGCTCAGCAATACACAGAACACTAGTGCTTCTCATAATCGAGGTTATCATAGACATGAAGAGAGGTAGCGACCTTATTCATATACATTAAAATCTACATTCTCCAAATGAACCCCACCAAGAATTCTTGACATTAGTCAGCCAAGTGAATATTCTGGCTCAAATTTTCTGTGTCTCAAACATTACCAAAGCATATAAACAAAGCTGGAAAAGCTAGCATATTGGATAGAGACAGCACCCGTCCTATGCCTTTCCTGGAGTAAGTCTTCAGACGTAAGACTAGATATAAAACTGTAGACACATCACACTGTACTCTTCACAGGTTTGCTCAGAAACAGGAACATGTTACAAGTAAATTTTTAACTTCTACTTGATTTATATAGCCATATCTCTTTTAGAAATTCTTACTTAGGGCTGGTGATATGGTTCAGAGGGTAAAGGCACTTGTCACCAAGCCTGATGACTTGAGTTCAGTTCCTGGAAGGGGAGAACCAACTCCTGAAAGTCCTCTGACCATAGCATGCACACCCCCCAACACACATACATGTGCAAACACATACATACTCACTCACTAAATAAGCAGTGTAAACATAAATTAAAAAATTCTTACTTAAATCTTATAGGAGTGCATACTAATTTTTTTTACTGAGAAGTGGTCAACATTAAAAATACTTTTAAAAAAGATTTTGTATTTCAATAATTAAAAAACATGTTTTCTAGATACAGTATGTATCAAACAATAGGAGATGATTAAATAAATCTGTTAACACTATATAGTAAGTCAGTAAGTAGATAGTATAGAGAAAGGCTTAATGGAATGTAAAAATTAGACCTCTAGGAGACTAATTTTAAAAATACTAAAATCCCTGAATTATCAAACTACACATTGAAACAGGATCTACCCCCTATTTGTCAAAATGTCTTCTGGGATTATTATCCTGACTATTAGAGTCACAGGACATTATGTCATTTTGATATAATTTTATCACTTCAACTTTAAAAACAATGTATTTTTAAGTAAAAGTCAAATACTTTTGTAGGACTGACCCAGACCCCCTGAACTTGGGTGTCAGTGAGGAGGCCTCGGCAATCTATGGGGCCTCTGATAGTAGATCAGTATTTATCCCTGGCATACAAATGGACTTTGGGAGCCCATTCTACATGGAGGGATACTCTCTCAGCCTAAATGTACAGTAACTAGTAATTTAATGTTTCTGTATTTTCTATGGACATATATAACAATATAGGTATATGGAAAACATATGGATTTTATATGAACAGAAATTGTGATATATTCTTGGATTGTGTGGCAACTTTCACCTTTTGCATCAATGCTTTCAAATGTCACTTTGGACTGTCTTAAACAGATTAAAACTATCTAGTCATAGCCTTATCAGCCGAAGGGTAAAAGTTTGGGTCAGACAGAAAGAGTTGGTTCTAGTGGTCTGTCTATGGTAATGATTATAGATACTGCTATGTATTTCAAAGTCACTAAGAGGAAGTTGTAAATGTCCTCACTACAAGCAATGATGAATATGTGAGATAATGAATATGCCAATTCTTTTGACTTAAGCATCCCATATGTATATAATATGTGGTGTATATACATCATGGCTTCATATTGTAGTCTATGTATGTATGTATATATGTATGTATGCATGTACATACATACATACAACAAATTTAAAAAAGAAAACTCAATATAAGTTGTGTTACCCAGCCTGCTGTCATCATGACACAATACCTTAAGAAAATAATTGAAAAAAAGAAAGTTCCTTTCAGCTCTTGGTTTCAGCTCAGGTCAGCTGGCTCCACTGTTTTGGGGATGTCACTGACACAGAGTACCCAAGCACGAAGAAGATCATGAAGCAACCCTGCTCATCCCACGGAGGACTGGATGCAGAAAGCACAAGAGAAAGAGAGGCAGGGAACAAGACACGCCCTTCTACGGAATACCTTAAATGTTTCACTCCCATGGCTGTGGCCCATGTTCCAGGTTTTAAGGCCTCCCCATAAGGCCATCAGATTATGATTCCATCAGCTGATTAATCCACTGGCAAGGTCAGAGCCTTCATGAGCCAAAAATTCAGGCCTTTACTACTTTTACACCAGGTAAAAGGATGGTGTCCTAAGGTACTTCAGAAGCGTTTTCCTACTGTTAGGAAAACTTTAATAAGATACATTTAACTTAAAACGCAATTTCAATGCAGTTATAGGGAATTTGGTGAGGGTCTAGCATGTTTATAGTTGAAAATAATCATTACCAACTCACCCCACAGTTATATACAGCCTGTTAACCCATTTTTTTTCATGTTCACATTCCTATCTGTATATGTACCATTTCCATGAGTTTGGCATCATCTTAACAGAACTGATTGTGTGTCTTAATATTGTATCGTGAGTATTTTGCTTTCCTTTTGAGGTCTCTGAACACATGATTTTTTAAATGGCCACATAATTATTCACTCTGTAACTGCAGCATATGCCATACGCTATTAAAGAGTCTTCTGTTGCAGATAATATGTCTTATCGTGTGTCACTTAGCATTGACAATATTGGTAAAAAAATATGTACTGAATACTGCCTCATCGTTTACTTTCTTATTTTTTCTCTTCCCCCATTGAGGATGCTTCTTAACGAGGGCTCTGCATGCCAATCTCTGTCTCTGAGTAAGCTCCTTAGGAATCCAATCCGTAATAGGGGTAAGATGGCAATGCTAACTAAATTACACACCCACACCCCACCAAGCCTACCATCCCAATTCCATGAACACTGTGAGGTTATAAAGACACATATTGGAGCCCACCTGTGAAAGTAGAAGCACTGGAAAAAAAATCATACTGGAAATTTAAATGTCTGTCATTAAGGAACTTAAGAATAGATTACATGTTATCTACACTTGGAAGCACAGTAGGACATGCAGGGCATCTTGATGTTCTGCTATGTAGCCACGCCCATCTTGATAATCCAGAATACTACTGAGCGGCAGAGAAAAACAGATAGTGTGTTACCACTGCTTTCTCAAGGAAAGAGGATACTGATACATACGTATATGTTTGCTCATGCACATGAAGAACTGGTGCAGGGAAGAAAGAAGAAGTAATAGAGGGGAGAAAGGAATTGCATATAGGGAGAGAATTATATAGGTTTGAAATTTTGTTTTTGAGCTACAGAACTATTTGGCACAATTGTGAGAAGTTAAATAACAAAAGCAAATAAACAAGTGACCGGACATTTCTAGGTACCTAGTTGCGTAAGCACAGAAAAAGGGAACTGTTCTAAAGGGCATCAGAGGACACTGATCTAGCTTAATATATCCCTAGGAAAATACACCATGAGGACGAGAGGCACAGGAAATAATTATTGCTGTGGTTCACTGCTGAGAAATATTTGTTGCTATCTGTCTGCTTTCTCCCTGGTCCCATCGTTCTTCCTTCTTTTCCACCACTGGGAGCAGCTTTGAAGGAACTTCCCACATGCTATTGTCTGTTTGAGTCAGCTTCTTGGTAAACCCAACCTGCGAAGGGGAGATGTCTATCTCTCTGTCTCCCTCCTTAGGAAACCAACCTACAAAGTGAACTCGGCAACGCTAGCAAATACTCCTTGGAGTTCCTATCAGTCAGCAAAGTCCATAGTCATTTTGCTGTTGGTAGTATTGCCATTTAAATTTTGCAACTGTCGGGTATATATTAAGGTAAGGCAAGTAGTTTATTATGTCGGTGTCTTATAAAATGGGGGGGGGGAGAAGAGCAGATTTCCAAAAGAGACTACAGATATCGAATAAAATCCCCAATGTTCTCAATTCAAATGAGAAGCATCAGTTTGAAGGCTGATGTGCTTATTGATCCTTCCTTAGTTCTGATCACTCAGAAGGTCTACAGACAAAGATCTTAGTACTAATAAACACATCCCGCAAAAGGAACAGAGTCCTCTGAGCAATCATTCACACCAGCTCTGAGACAAGAAACACTCTGAGTGACTCAAAACCTCGCACACCAAACCGTAAGGAAGCCTGGTGATGATTGTAGAAAGGGTGGTGACACCCCTGTGGCTGTGCTCTCAAGAGTTCTTGTCCGTGGAGAAACACAGCAGTGCAGATGAAATATACCAATGCATGCTGTTCGTTTCAAGATCGTTTGAGATGCAGCCGTAGATCAAAGGAAAACTCCCTACTCCCATACCAGGACCATAAGACAGGCTCATAGAAATCTGCTGTCCATGGAATTTGAGAGCCCCGAGCTAGGGAGGCGGCAAAAACAGGCAAGCTGGTTTATCGCTTATGTGCTTCTATCAGATATGGGCCTGCTGAAGCCAGGCCCTCCCTGCTTTCCAGTGTAGAAGCTGACTCTCACAGTGCACAGTGCCTTCTCCTGGACCTTCCGGGACTGAGCTGCAGGGCTTGCGGGCCCAAGCTCTCAGAACACATGCTCTTACCATGTGAGGTCGAAGGGCGTCTATTCTGCCATTTCCCTCTGCTGACTACAGTTTCTTGTGGCAGATGAACAAGACTGACCATGAGTTGACCATCCTTAGTGTGTTGGACTACATTTGCCCGGAGGAATAGCGCACTGCCCTCTCATATACTTGAAGCTCCATAGGAAATGACACTTAAAAAAAATAAAATAAAACCAGGAAACTTCAGATTTAGCAGCAGAGACCACGGAAAGTGTTAGGTGGAAATGAGGAAAAACAGGTTTCCTTTGTTGAGAGGGAGAATTTGTTAAGGCAACTGAGAGACCTACCCTACTGAGACTTAATGTCCAGAGATATTTAAAGGACCAGGTCATGCTCTGGAGTTCGTGGTCTCCGATGAGAGGACAACTGTAATTTAGAAGCAGCTACAAGCAATTTGGGAATAGATGGTCATGGCCTTGCTCCAGTAAAATTGTATTTACAAAAACAGGGGGCTGGCCCACAGGCCTGAGCTTGTCAGTTAGCTGTAGAGTCAAAGCTCAGAGAAAATCAGATTTACCTCTGTGTGCCTGGTTAACACACTGGCCCCCAACCTCTTTGTGGGGAAACACCCCATGAGCCTTTCAGGGGCTGAGGCCCCTGGGCACCCCTATCTGCTCACTCAACACTGAGTCCCTTTCTCCCTTGGGGCAGGATTTTGATTTCTTCAGAGATGCCCATTAAAACATATCCTCAGATCCTCTGGTGATTAAATTTGACCACCTGATTAAGTTTCATTCACTAAGATATCAACGGAGATCTATTTAATGGTCAGGACTGCAAGAACATAGATTATCTTCTATGTTAAAAAAAAAAAAAACAATAGACCCGGCTAGTGTGCCTACTCCAGGAACCATTGCCTGGGTGTAATTATAGAGCCTGGCGAGTGCTGGCTGTTTTGTAACAAAAGGTAAAAAGCAATAACATGAGGACCGGGAGGGGAGCATGTAGCTGGGGACATCATGAAGAAACTGTCATAATCCTGGACTGGCTACCCAGGCTTCGTGGTTTATAAGAAATATAAAATCAGAAATTGGGTATCCACCATGGTAAGTCCTTTACAGACGGAAAAAGCACAATTAGTCATTAATACCTCAAGCCCCCCTCCTAATCTAAAATTAAACTCTAGATCCACTCTAGTCTCAGTAAATGACATCATTTTGATCACTATGATCATCAATTCCTTTTTTTCCCTCTCATTTCTTGCTCCTATTCAGTCCATTGCCCCAGACCACAGCTACACCTCTTCCCAGTGGCTCCCCTACAAAGTCCTAGACAGGTCAGCAGCAGCTCTCCATGGCCTGTTTCAGCGGCCTCTTAGGGATCTCCTCCTCTCCTCTGCATCCCGCCATCTGTTCCCCAACCACGGGGTTCCTTTCCCTGGTCACCTGCTCAGTTGCACTTATGGCCATTGTTTATCCTTCACTATCTTCTGTGTTGTGTTTACCGGTCTCCCATAGCCTAACCATGGTGAGTGCAGCTCAGGGCAGACAGAGGCTGTTTATCTAGTGAAGCAAGAAGGAAGGTCCTGAGGTTGGTGGACTTTTTGGCTTTTACCTCCATTAAACACCATGTCTTCTCCAGGACCTCGGCTAACACCAGACTGACCCCCTCACCTGGGATCTTACTCCTGCTTGGAAGACTGATTCTGGGTCCAGCATCTACAAGGTGACCAATATACCTGGGCCTCAGCAACGCCACCATTTTCTTCAGTCTGTCCTGCTATTTGGGCTGAGGTCCAGTACTACATGGTTTTTCTAATACTCTCTCGCCTGAATTATGGGTGCTACATGCTAAATTTCTTCTGCGTGAAATGCTGTAGAATTCCAAGCAAACTTGATGTATGTATGTATGTATGTATGCATGCATGCATGCATGCATGTATGTATGTATATATGTACCTTCCCTGAAGATGTTAGACAGGCTTTACTCTCCTCACTGTTAAATCCCACATCATGCCCTTTTATTCCTTCTTGTGGCACCTATCAACATCTGATGGGATTCACAATCCTGTTGGTTTGCTGACCTGCTCATTTTTCCAAAGATGTGTAAACTTCATGGCAGCACACAGTGTCTGTTTTGATTTCTGCTGCATTTCCCAGCATCTAACATAGGACCAGGCCCAACTGCAGATGCTCATATAGACACACCACTGTTTTCTGACTCATTTAGGACCCCGATAAGCAGTCCATGTTTCAAGCACTCCATGTGAAGAAACAACGGCAAACAGGGCCAACTTTTCCCCTAAGTGGATAACTGCTTTCCCACAGAAGAGAGAGGCTACAAGGACGGGCTGTTCTTGTGCCTTGATGCATTTGCAGCAGTTAGAAAACCGAGTAAAGCCGGGCGGTGGTGGTGCACGCCTTTAATCCCAGCACTCGGGAGGCAGAGGCAGGCGGATCTCTGTGAGTTCGAGGCTGGGCTGGACGACAGCCTCCAAAACAATACAGAGAAACCTTGTCTCGTAAAACAAAAAAAAAAAAAAAAAGAAGAAGAAGAAAGAAAGAAAGAAAAGAAAACCGAGTAAAAGCTAAAAGCGATCACTTGCATTGAAACGGACACTCACTGAAGAAGGGACGTCAGCACTATTTAAAAGAGAGACTTTGTATAAGGGGTTGTTGCGGCACACTCACCTGATATGGAGCGGGATCTTGGGTACCTTCTTAGAGATCTTGAACCTGTCTACATCCCCATAGACATCTGTGAAGTACACTCCGGCCACACTTGTCACCTGGTTCCCAGGGAAACTGGACAGCACCTTGTCATTGCCATGTTCACTGGCCCAGTACCAGGCCTGACCCCCAATGAGCAAGCCCCCACCGCGCTTCACAAACTGGACCAGCCTGTCAGTCAAGGTGTCGTTGTAGGCATCAGTGCAGTAAACACCCAGAGTCTCCCCAGGTTCAGGCTCAACCAGGGCCTCGAGACCAGAGTCACTTAGGATGTTAACTAGTGATGCCAAGGAGGGATGCACCAGGATGGGAGCCTCTGGGGAGGGACAGAGCCACCTCACTGCATTGAAAAGAAATGGGGCCAAGCCAGCATGCAGCAGGTAGCCCTCATGGGATAGGACCACCAGACGGCCTTGGCCATAGGAAGAGGCAGCAATGAGCACCTGTCCCTTGTCATTCACCATCACCGGGAAGGCGGTCTCCCCAGTAAGAAGGAGTTCACTAGGAATGGATTCTTTGGGAAGATCCCAGCTGGTCACTCCGTCCATGAGGGCCTCAAAGATGGCGTCGGGGGTCGTTGCCATGGTTCTGCCAGTGGCTACGGAGGAAGCAGAGACTCAGGTTGGTTCAAAACAGATCAAGGAACCAGTAAAAACAAACGAACCGAAACAAAAAAAATGTAAGCGAATAAATTGCAGGCAGTCTGAAAATTATCAGAGCCCCGCTTTCATGACTCGGATACATAACAAGGCTGAAGGTGACAAATAAGTAGGCTCATAAAAATGCTGCCATTTCCAGTGCTGCGTGGGGATGAGACGCAGACCATGCCATCTGGAAGACTGCTTTAGACTGAATGATGGCAAAGACCCGGTGAGAATGTGTTCTCGAAGCTGAGACCTGAAATGCTGTGGGAAGAACACACTGGTAAGAGGCACGCCAGGGCAGCAGGAGAGTCGGGGCCAAAGGGAACAGCACCTGAGGTAGACAGGGAGGCGTAAGTTCTTAAATGGTTTGGCAGGTCAAATGCAGGAGTTGGCTTACTGTTTTTCTGTATTTGGGCAGACAAAAGGATCCATGACCCGCCAGAAGCTAGGGTCACATGACACGTCAGAAACCATTAGTTCTGACAGCTTTACTTATCCTGTTGGAAATGACTTCCAAATGATCAACTCTGCACCCCCTACCCCCGGCCCCCGCGCCCCTATGCACACAATATTGGCCAGTTCTTTTCAAATTCTTCTGAAGCCCATACGATGGCAGCTGAGTTCACTCCAACACTTCCTTCCAAGTGTTTCAGCTGTTTTTGTTGTTGTTGGTTTTTTTTGTTTTGTTTTTTTGTTTTTTTTGGTTTTTTTTACAAATTAGACTACACAAGGTGTAGGCACAGTGAGCCACGAAAGTGCCCCTCTCCCTCTGGTTCATTTCCGGGAGCTCAGTGAGAGCCGGTGGTCAGTCCCCACATCTGAGTAGCTCATCCACTCACTGATGGGGCAGCTCTCCAATGGCTGCGAGCTGATACCCTAAGTCAGCTTCAGGTGCTGGAGGGGACTGCGGATAAATGCCCAGTGCCTCCCTGAGGTGCCCCCTAGGAGGGTCCCAGGAAGGGCTCAATTCTGGACGGCAGCACTCACCCTGTCTCGGCTCCCTCCTTGACTGTTTTACCCAGGTTCTTCTCGTGGGTTTTCAGAGCTCCCTTCCCAAATAAGCTTCCAGGGAGAACCTGAGTACATCAGCATCCCGGGCCCCTCGTGTCTCCTTTGCTCCTCCTGCTCTCAACAATTGTCAATGACAGCCCCATTGCTAGACTCCTCTCACCTGTCCTCACAGGCCAGCCCCCTTATCTCATGGCCAAGGCCAGGCCCAACTGAACCGGTCTGAGCCTGCATGACCCATTCCCACCCTGGCTACGGTTGACTAAGAACTGTGCGGAGCCCCTCATTTCAACCACTCCCTGTGCGGCCGGTGTAAGCTTCAACCACGCCCCACTTCCCATACCACTTCATGTAACTGCTCCCAGGAAAGTGGACCTCGAGTTTATCAGGAACCTCGAGTTCAAAGTCTTGCTAAGTTCGTCCGAGAAGAAAGTTCTCCCACTTTCCCCTAGTCTGGCAGGAAGAGCAGGCAAACAAAAACCACCACGAGAGGGTCCTCTGGTCCCTGAAAGGACCGGTGCCGCCCCACTCTGCAACTAAAACGTGCTTGCACACACACACACACACACACACACACACACACACACACACACACACACACCCCATCAGATTCGTGGCTCGAGTTCCAAAAATCAGAGGCAAGTCAGTTCTGAGTTAACCACAAAACTGTACCGATTTTAAAATTATCTCAAAATAAGGAAACAGACCTGTGGAAGACACACCGACGGTCGGGAACAGCGTTCCGGTAGCCTCCTGACACTTGAAGGGTCCCCTCGCAGCGTCGCCCAGGTGCTCGAACACCAAGCCCCGCCCTAGAACACACCAGGACTTTAAAAAAACTTAGGCTGAGAAGTTCTCTGGGCCTGCAGAATCTAGCAGCTGCAGACCAGAGGAGAGCAGTCTTTAAGAAGGTCTACCTAGGAGCCGGACCTCCTCCGGGGGCGTGGCTGTGGAGGGCGGGGCTATCACGGATACTGGCCGTCCTGGCGAAGGGTTTTCTTGGGGGCCGGGCTTCGCTGGGCGGGGCCAGCTTGGGTCTTGGGGGCGGAGCTTCTTAGGTGCTGCGTGTTTTCCACCTGGAGCGGTGCTACCAGGGATCAGGGATGGTTAGTCCTGTCGGGTGGGCTATTCGGGGAACTGGACTGGTTAAGGGTGGGGCTGTCCTGTCGGGTGGGCTATTCGGGGAACTGGACTGGTTAGGGGTGGGGCTGCTCCGGAGGCGAGGCCTTAGGGAAGGCGAGCTATTCCCGCAACCAGGCGAATCGCGCCTTGAGAAGGCTAACACCGATCTGCCTGGGTCTAGACCCCACCCTACCTGGAGCGCGGGCTCTCTGCAAAGCTGTTGATGGACCAAGGGAGAAAAAAACAAACAAACAAACTCCGGATCTCCAAATAACTCATCAGATTTCGAGCGCGAGCGTCACCCAACAGCGGCGCCGCCAGACCCGGAATCTGGCTGCCAGTGGCTTGATGACTCACCAGGGCTTCACTGCAAAGGGTTAACCCCTCCTGCCATCCCCCACGCCCCGTCCTGGCTCGGGCATCAGGGCCTGCCCCCTAGCGGCCGACACTGGCCGTGCACCAGTCGGGATCTGCTGGACTGAGTATATGCATAGATATATCTGTTCCAGGGACATCGTTACTGGGCAGAAAACGTGACCGTGACGTGATCTACACAGGCAAGACTAAGCTGGGGAAGTTTAAGCGAAAGTTAAAGCGTGGATACTGCCCAGGTTTCTGCTCAAAAGGGACCCCCCCCAAAAAGGCAGAAGGGCATATTAGTGTGTCCTTTGAGCACAGCTCTGTATATTGTTTTTATTTCTTTGATTCATCGTTTGCCTTTGTTTCTTGACGGAAAGGAAGGGGACAAAAAGAAAGTGAGAGGATATGACGAGAATACTTGAAAAGACACTTTCTATCCTTCGGTGCTATCACCAGCCATGCATGACACTGAGGTTTATAAAATTATGTGTGTGTTTTTTAACTTTATTTTATTTTGCACACCAAGCACAGTTTTCCCTCCCTCCTCTCCTGCCTCCTCCCCCATCCACTCCTCCTTTGTCTCCACTCCGATGGAGACTTTGCCTTCCTTAAGTTGAGTCAGGACCAAGCTCCTTCCCCCTTCATCAAGGCTGAACAAAGCATCTCACCATAGGGAATAGGTTCCAAAGAGCCAGCCCATGCGTCAGGGACAGGTCCTGGTCCCACTGCTAGGAGGTCCCACAAAAGACAAAGCTATACAACTGTCACCCAGATACAGAGGGCCTGGGTCAGTCCTATGCTGGCTCCCTAGCTGTCCTTCCAGAGTCCATGAGTTACCATAAGCTGAGGTCAGCTGTCTCTGTGGATTTTCCCATCATGATCTTGACCACTCCCCCTCCCCTTGCTCATTTAATCCCTCCTCCCTCTCTTCAACCGGATTCCCGGGGTTCAGATCAGTACTAGGCTATGAATCTCTGTAATTTGCTTCTATCAAGATATCTCTTTCATCATTCTCCCCCTCCATCCCGCCCCCAACTCAACCAACCTGATCCCTCATGTTCCCGTCTCTGTAGGGAGAGACCTTAGGTACCCATAGCGCTGACCATTCCTGTTTGGGCGAGGTCAAGGTACATAGAAGATATGGAGAAATAAAGAGCTGGGAGCAAGGGGACTCGCTCTCTCTTGGGGTTCCCGGTCGAGTCTCGGAGAGCAGCAGAGCGCTTTCCTCGGGTTCTCGGCTTCTCATGTAAGCGATTTCTCCCTAATAAAGTATCATGGCACATCCCTATCCTGTGTAGGTTAATCTTCCTCAGTATCCGGTATCAGCCCCTACACTTGAGCCGATCAGAGTTCTCACTGCTGGAGTCACTGCTGGCTCCAAGCCTCTCTTTCTACCCACCTGCCCCCAGTTCACCCAGGACATCTCCTCTATTTCCTCTTCCCAGGGAGATCCATGCATCTGCCTTAGGATCCTTTATGTTACGTAGCATCTCTGGAGCTGTGGGTGGTGGTCTGGCGATCCTTTGCTTTACATCTAACACCCACTTATGAGTGAGTACACACTATGTCTTTCTGGGTCTGGGTTACCTCACCTAGGATTTTTTTTTCTAGATCTGTCCATTTGCTGGCAAATTTCATGATGTTGCTGTTTTATTCTGCAATGTTAATATTCCATTGTATAGATATACCACATTTTCTCTATCCATTCTTTGGTTAAGGGGCATTTAGGTCGTTTCCATGTTCTGGCTATTATTAATAATGCTGCTATGAATGTAGTTGAACAAGTATCTGTGTGGCATGGTTGAGCATCCTTTGGGTATATACCCAAGAGTGGTATCACTGGATCATGAGGTAGATTGATTCCCACTTTTCTGAGAAACTGACCTAAGCAGCTGTACAAGTTTGCACTCCCACCAGCAGTGTAGGAGTGTTCCCCTTTCTCCACATCCTCTCCAGCATAAGCTGTCATTAGCATTTTTGATCTTGGACATTCTGATGGATGCAAGAAGGTATCTCAAAGTTGTTTTGATTTGCGTTTCCCTGATAGCAGAGAGTTTTGACCACTTCTTTAAGTGTATCTCAGCCATTTGAGATTCTTCTGTTGAGAATTCTCTGTTTAAATATACACCCCATTTTTTGTTTTCTTTATATTTTCTTTTTCTTAAGTCTTTTTCTTTTTAAATATTAATTAGAAACAAGGCTGCTTCACATGTCAATCCCAGCTCCTTCTCCTTCTCCCTCCCCTTCTCCCACACCTTCCCACCAAACTGCCATCCTCCCTCCCCCAAGCCCCACTCCTTTCCCCAGGGAGAGTGAGACCCTCCATGAGGGGTGTCCATAATCTGTCATTTCATCCAGGGCAGGGCCTAGGCCCTCCCCGAAGAGTTCAGGCTGAGATAACATCTCTCATTGTGGGATGGGCACCCAAAGTCCATTTGTATGTCAGGGATAAATATTGATCTACTACCCAAGGCCCCATAGATTGCCTAGGCCTCCTCCTCATTGAAAGCCACATTCAGGGCGTCTGGATCAGTCCCATGCTGGCCTCTTGTCCATTAGTCTGAGGTTCGAGAGCTCCCCCTTGTTCAGGTCAGCTGTTTCTGTGGGTTAAACAAGTCAAGTCTTAGCCCCTTTGCTCATCAGTCCTCCCTCTCTGACACTGGCTTCCTTGAGTCCAGCTTAGTGTTTAGCTGTGGGCATCTGTCTCTGCTTCCATCAGTCATTTGTTGAAGGTTCTGTTTCCCAGACTCTCTGGCACTGGGATTGTAAACTGGCACTCCCCTGATCTGTGTCTAAAATCCATAGATGAGAGAGTACTTGCCATGTTTCTCTTTTTGTGACTGGGTTACCTCACTCAGGATGGTTTCTTCTAGTGCCATCCATTTGCCTGCAAATTTCAAGATTCCATTGTTTTTTCTCTGCTGAACAGTACTCCATTGTGTAAATGTACCACATTTTCTCTATCCACTCTTCAGTTGAGGGGCATCTAGGTTGCTTCCAAGTTCTGGTTATTACAAATAATGCTGCTATGAACATAGTGGAACAGATGTCCTTGTTGTATGAATGTGAATCATTTGGGTATATTCCTAAGAGTGGACTTTCTGGGTCTTGTGGTAAGCTGAGTCCTATTTTGCTGACGAATCTCCATACTGATTTCCAAAGTGGCTGTATGAGTTGGCACTCCCACCAGCAGTGGAGGAGTGTTCCCCTTTCTCCACATCCCCTTCAGCATAAACTGTCACTGGCGTTTTTGATTTTAGCCATTCTGACAGGAATAAGATGGTATCTCAGAGTTGTTTTGAATTGCATTTCCTTGATGGCTGGGGATGTTGAGCACTTTCTTAAGTGTCTCTCAGCTATTTTAGCATCCTCTATTGAGAATTCTCTATTTAGTTCTGTATCCCACTTTTTAATTGGATCTTTTGGTGTTTTGGAGACTTGCTTCTTGAGTTCTTTGTAAATTTTGGAGATCAGCCCTCTGTCAGATGTGGGGTTAGTGAATATCTTTTCCCATTCTGTGGGCTGCCTTTTTGTCTTGTTGACTGTGTCCTTTGCCTTACAGAAGCTTCTCAGTTTCAGGAGGCTCCATTTATTAATTGTTGACCTCAGTATCTGTGCTACTGCTGTTATGTTCAGGAAGAGGTCTCCTGTACCAATTCGTTCAAGAGTACATCCCACTTTCTCTTCTAAGAGGTTCAGTGTGACTGGATTTATGTTGAGGTCTTTGATCCATTTGGACTTAAGTTTTGTGCATGGTGATGGACATGGATCTATCTGCAGTCTTCTACATGCCATTATCCAGTTATCCCAGCACCATTTGTGCAAAGATGTTTTCTTTTTCTATTGTGTATTTTTAGCTTCTTTGTCGAAGATCAGATGTTCATATGTGTATCGGGGTCTTCAATTCCATTGGTCTACCTGTCTATTTTTGTGCTAATACCAAGCTGTTTTCAGGACTATAGTTCTATAATAGAGCTTGAAATAAGTTGCTTTGTTGAGTAGGGTTGTTTTGGCTATCGTGGGTCTTTTGTTTTTCCATATAAAGTTGAGAAGTGTTCTTTCAAGGTCTGTGAAAAATTGTTTTGGGATTTTAATGGGGATTGCATTGAATCTGTAGATTGCTTTTGGCAGGATTGCCAGTTTCACTACATTGATCTTATCTATCCAAGAGCATGGGTGATGGTTCCATTTTTTTGTGTCTTCTTCAATTTCTTTCTTTAAAGACTCAATGTTCTTGTGATACAGATCTTTCACTTGTTTGGTTGCGTTACCCCAAGGTATTTTATGTTGTTTGTGGCAATTATAAAGGGTGATGTTTCTCTGATTTTTTCTCAGCCCTTTTATCTTCTGTATATAGTAGGGCTACTGATTTTCTTGAGTTGATCTTGTAGCCTGCCACTTTACTGAAGGTGTTAATCAGCTGTCAGAGTTCCCTGGTAGAGTTCTTTGGATCATTTATGTAAACTATCATATCATCTGCAAATAGTGAAAGTTTGACCTGTTCCTTTTGAATTTGTATCCCCTTGATCTCTTTTTGTTGTGTATTGCTCTATCTAGAACTTCAAGCACAATATTGAAAAGGTATGAAGAGAGTGGACAGCCTTGTCTTGTTCCTGATTTTAGAGGAATCGCATTGAGTTTGTGTCCATTTAGTTTGATGTTGGCTGTTGGTTTGCTGTATATAGCTTTTATTATGTTTAGGTATGTTCCTGTTATCCCGGATCTCTCCAAAACCTTTATCATGAAGGGGTATACACCCCATTTTTAATGGGATCATTTTGTATTTTGATGTCTAGTCTCTTAAGTTCTTTATATATTTTGGAGATCAGTCCTGTGTCAGATGTGGGGTTGGTGAATATCTTTTCCCATTTTGTAGGCTGCCATTTTGTCTTATTGATAATGTTCTTTGCCTCACAGAAGCTTTTAGGTTTCAGGAGGTCCCATTTATTAATTGTTGATCTCAATGTCTGTGCTTAC